GATAATTTTATCCATGAGTGTCAAACCTTGTTGGACATGTTAAACAATGCCCAGCTTTTGCCTATTCTACATGATGATGTGATTTGGGACCTTACTACCTCAGGTGATTTTTTTATTAAGTCTGCATATGTTCATATCTTCTACAATCGATATAAATAGCACGATTCAGTACTTTCCTAAATAAAGAAACTTCATGTTCCACTTAAAGTTCAGTTGTTTCTAGGGATATTTTGTAAAGAAAAGCTAGCCATTGTGGATAACTTAAGGAAGAGAGGGTTCATTATACCCAATGTCTGCCTTTTGTGCAAACCTAGTGACTGATACGACGTAACATTTATTCCTCTACTGCCTTTTCATTTATGATCTTTGGAATTGGGTTCGACAATGTTTAAACTCATCCATTCCAATTCCAAAAGTTTGTAGACAGCTTATCACTCAATGGTTATTCTCTGGTATTCCAAAGGTGGATAATATATTTTAGCATTCTTCTGGGTAAGTGTCCTTTGGGGTATGTGGAAGGAGAGAAATCAAAGAGTGTTTGAAGGAATCTCTACTGATTTTTCTATGTTAAAATCTAACATTTTAGCCTCAACAATAGATTGGTTTTCCTCTCACAAAGAAAGTGGCTCTACATCAAAGAGTCTTATCATTTACTACCCCTTAGCAGTCGCGAAATCTAGCCGTAAAGCTATTGTTTGGTCCCCACCTCCTCTGTACTCAATCAAATTGAACTTTGATGACAATAGCTTTTGAAATCTAGGAGCAGCTGGATATGGTGTGTTGATTAGAAATCATTTGGGTCATGTTTTTTGCTCATATTTAGGTCCGTGTGGTATTGGTACAGCAAATAAAGCGTAGGCTAGAGGTCTCCTGGAGGGTTTGAAACTTCTTTCACGGTGGGAAGGGCAAACAATTATTGAAGGAGATTCGACAAATGTCATAGCTTGGAGCTATGAAGAATTCAATGTTCCATCGAGCTTTAAAGTATTATTTCATGAGATTAGGAACATCCTTTCTCCAAACTCCCTCGTTATCTCTACCTCCTCTCTTTCTCTCTCTGCTCGATAAAACCTATTGAAACCTGGTTATAGAAATTTATGAGAACGTTGCCCAAAAATAAGGAGGCTGGGGCCTGCCTTAGAACTGTTTGACATTGTGAAATCTGATGAGTTTACACCGGTTTTAAGCGGAAGAGATCTCCAAAATTGCCTAGATTTTTAAACGGCAAGTGGAAGAACCATGCTGCAGCATATGCTCTCAATGCGAAAATGTTCATGTCCACTGTTTGTGTCCCATTAGGGTGCTCCATTTCAAACTGTGATCTCCATCTCCATGACAAATTGTATAAAGCTTCGGACTCTGGTATATGGATTTTTTCGGGCAGAGAGAGAAAGAGGGGTTTTTTTCGGCAGAGAAAGAAAGAGAGAGGGTGGGTAGAGAGAGATGAGTTGGGGCATAAAGAGAGAGAGCGGAGAGAGAAAAGAAGGATTTTCGACAAAGAGAGAAAGAGAGAGAGAGTTTGGGTAGAGATAGAGAGAGAGAGAGGGCACGTAGAGAGAGAGTTTGGGCAGAGAAAGAGAAAGAGGGTGGGTAGAGAGAGAGAGGGAGTTCGGGTAGAGATAAAGAGAGAGAGTTTGGGTAGAGAGAAAGATAGGGCATGTAGAGAGAGAGAAAGAGGCATTTTAGTCTCTATTTTTTTGACTTTTTTCCTAGAGGGTAAGTACAAGAGAAAATAGTGTTAGGGTCTAAGGTGTGATACCAAAATTATTAGGGAGTATCTATAATTTTCTATAAAAAATAAAAAGCTACGAAGGTTCTCGTATATCCATATCCACACAGACTTTGGCCCACTTCTAGAATAGTCTAGCCCAATATTCGCTAAATCGGTGATCTAACCGCTAACCGTCCGGTTAGATCGGAAGCGGCCAATGACCGGTTCCGGCTTTGGGCGGTTTTGGTGATCAATCGATTTCTTAAAGTTTAAATAGAATACTACTTGACATTTATAACAAATATTTTATAATGGCATATTGGTTAGCGTGGGTGACTATACTTTATATGAACCGCAGTTCGAAAACCGCCGATAGAATCCCGCCATCAGCTATATTTTTTTTAAACATTGGTGCGGTTCTTTTTAACAATTCTAAGAATTCATTACATTGGTAAGAAGTTCATAAAATTTTCTTTTTAAACATTGGTGTGGTTTATTTTAACAATTCTTAGAATTCATTACATTGGTAAGAAGTTCATAAAATTTACTTGCCCACATGAATCGAACTTGAAAGTTCTCGTAAAAAAATAATTTGTTATTAAACCCACTGACCAATGCACCATATGCTATTTAGTTGCCTATTAGATCTATTAACCAATATGTCATTTACTACATATTTATAAAAAGAATGGTCTATATTGTATATAACTTAATTTTTTTCATTTTCTCTTAACAATAAGAGTCGGTCAAGTAGATTTTTTAACACTATTTTAATATTATTTACATTATGGTAAAGATTAAATAAAATTGTGGTCATTAAAACTCACTGTTTTATTTTTCCATCTTTTTCAGAAAATTTTAAAAGTACTCCTAGGCACAAATCGATTCCTTAAGATCTTTTTTCAATAATTTTAGACTTTATTTGAGCGTGTTTTGTTTTAATCACATTTTAGTAGATTTTTTTTTGTCTCTTTTTTAATTTTTTCAACACTTTTTTTATTGTTCGGGACTTGCCCGATTTGAGCGGTTGAATCGGCTAGTTTACCAGTAAAGCTCTTTCGGGCCCAAGTCCGATTAACCGTACCGGTTCAATTTTGCAAACACTGGTCTAGCCCCATCCGATGCGATGTCTACTCGTGAATCTAGTAAAGTGAATGCTGGCTTTAGGGTACTTTTAAACTCAAATATATTTTTTTTTCCGGAGTGTTAAATTCAATATTTGATAGATAACCTTTGGTAGAATATCCCTAAGCATGGTCAAGCTTGCTAAACCATTTGATCATGGTAGATGATCACGAATCTCTATCAATTGAAACGGATGTTCTCCTATGCTGATATTGCCTCTGCAAAACTGTCCTTTTTTAAAGCTAGAGGCTCCATACGTATGCTTCCCGATTTGCCTCGCTCTCAGTCTATAAAGCAACCATTCATTATGCTAAACGACTTGAGTTCAACGACTTTAGCTTAACGACTGGACTCAAAGTCTGTTCAACGTCCAAGCCATAAACTATGACCAATAACTCTACCATTTGTTAAGGATCGAATCGTAAAGCATTTGACCTCAATTCTCTTAGATGAGATCTTTATCTTCCTCGAATGTTCTCACGGGTTCAGGAATGGCATGAAAGCTTTTTTAGCTGTCATATAAGGCATGCAAGCTTTTTTACCTAATCAAAGCCGACATTTTAGGATGCTTGGATAATCTCAATCATCATAGATTGATTCAAGCACTAAAATTATATATTGATTATTCCCGAATCATTCATCTAATTTATTCTTTCCTGATCACCAACATCAAGGATAAGTATGGAAAGAGCTATGTTGCGCTTTTGGGCCCGAGACCATAAATGAATTGTAAGCAATTTCTCTTATCCCAGAGTCGCCGGATCAAAACCTAAATGAGGATGAAACCTCATCAACCCGACACTAAAGACTAGTCTCACATCGCCGTAAAAGGCCTCAAAGAATTGGATTCTTCCACATATTTAAGAGCTTTTCTTAAATAGAGAGGGACATACAACTTTACCATCCTGAGACACTATAATGAGTTCACCTTATTCACGATTTCGAGATAAAGCACTGAGAACTTGCTATCCATACTTAAAAGGGAATATAATTCCAATAAGATAGTAGGTTTGAACCAGGGTTAACTTTATACTTAAAACGGAGTAATATCAATCAGTCACTTTGAAATATCACCCTCACGCACGGGCTGCAGGAACTTCTTAAAATGCCCAATGATTATGGTAATTAATTAGCTTTTAGCAGACCGAGAAACGCATTACAGTCTAAAAACCTAAGGTCAAAACCAAATTTTCGAGCCCCAATACGTACTCTACCCAGAGGCACAAAGACAGTTTCAACCTCGTGGAAAACCCAATGCCATGGTCGAGCCAGTGCTTTTGTTTGCCGAATGAAACCCACAAAGAAGAGTACCCCGCCTTCAAAATCCACTTGACTATATCGTACTAATCCTAGACACTCAGCCCATATGATGCAATCGAGGGTGGAACAAATGTACTTCAATGACAAAACTGCGCCTAGTGAAACATTCTTGGAGTCATTGGGGGATAACGCAGCCCTAGACAGTGTATCTACATTTTGATGAGAAACTGATAGGTGTTAAATTAGATTCATAGGGAAAAAGTTCCAACCAAAACTGGTTTGAAAAACACTGAGAAAACTTGGCTAACCACCACGAAAACTCGCGTGAGCAGAGTTTTGCCTTTTTAAGCAAATAGGCGTCAAGTGTTCAATTAAAAATGGGGGTTTATATAGACTTGAAATTCAATTTTCGTATATAGTCTGTAGATACAGTGGAGCTGGTGAGATTGGCTGAAACAGTAGGTACGTATCAGAGATAATTAGAAGTTCAAAGTGGGCGGAGTAAGGCCACGATGATTGTGGCAAATCGCAGCATCGTCGCAAATACCATGGCAAACATTTTTTTGGCATTCTGATTGTTTACCCTGAACTTTATGTCTAAAATTTGAATTTAAATCATTCAAACTTGTCATAATTCACTGAAAAGAAAAATGATTTATCCAAATAATCGTTTGCGTTGATTAGACACAAGATAACTTGCTTAAACACCTAGTATCTCTCTTTCCAAGTTGCTTTTAGTCCTGTTCTAAGTTTCAACAAAACAAAAACACGCTGTTCGTACTTCTTATTATCTAGTTTTGATTTTTGTTGAACTTTTCCCCAAGCGAATCGATATCCTAGGATTGCAACCGCTTACTTGCTCTAAATTAAGTGGCCCAACCAAAACATCCAAAAAAAAAAAAGAAAAAAATAAAAGGACAAGCGCATGGATAGGTCCTGGAGTTTACCTCAATCTGGTCTCCCACGTGCAGAACAAGGGCATCAGGAACATTGTCCACAGAGACCCAGGACCCATCTTTGATGACTTGAAGGCCAGGTACGTGGTTGGGGAGGTGGATTGTGAGGGCGCTTATATCAGTGTGGGCCTCCACTCCCAAGGCCAGCTCGGGTTGTGGGCATGGGGGGTACAGGTTTATCTTAACCTCCAAGGACATCACCTCACCACCCAATGCTTCTTTCAAAGCCCCTGCTTCCAGTCCCAACCCCACCGACAGAGCCTCCATAACCCCCTCCGCAACCCTTTTCATTTCTTCCCCGTACTCCTCTGACTTCCCTGAATACAATCACAACAAACACAATCAACCTTTTCCTACCTTTGAATTAAAAGCACCAAACATAAGTTTTTTGATTGTTACTTAGTTCTCCTTTTGATTCTATTCAGACGCCTACCGGTAATTCGGGGGGCTTTTGGGCCATTTGTCGTAATTGACTCTCGATGTTGGCCACATGAAATGGAAGAAATAGTCGATCCACTCCAGTTTCTGGACTGGATTCTTTGCAAGCTTGGTACCATACCCTTCGAAGACGCCGCCAGCAAAGTCATTGGCATATTGCTCTTTGTACTCTTGGGGGAGACTGAAGAATCCTTCACCAGCCTCCTTCAGACGACGGAAAAGCTCTGGTGAAATACCATGATCTGTTAATTGGAAGATGCCCCATTCCTCGCTGGCCTTTGGCTGCTTGCTTGCAATCCGGAGAAAATGACACCGTGGGGACATGGAGTCCCGTCAGGACCTTGCTATTTTCCGGCCTTTCGCTCAGGGGCCTGATGAATTGGGGGGGCAGCTTGTCGAGACCAGCCAGAGCCAGCCCTTGCACTCTCTCCGCCACCATCTTCTAAGCTCTTCCTTCTCTATTCACTCTTGGTGCCGCTGAGGCCAATACATATTGACCTGCACACGACATTTGTTTGGTGGCCGGTACGATATTGGCTTCATGGCAAAGAATGTCGAATGGTAGGTGACAACAATAGGGTGGATGCATTCCTTACCGGTAGATTTACAAGCAAACTTGAAATTGGAAGCGTATATGGCCGTGTTTTCTATCATGCCATAACTTTGTGCACTACCTTTTTTTTGCAATCGCGCACCAGAGGCTGACAATTAGTATGAAAAACTGCAGTAGGTCCAATTTGTGTAAGCACTTTTACAAGGAAAAGAAAAAAAATAAATCCAACTACCATCTCTCTCGATCTAGTATTTTTATTGATTTCAAGATCAAAAATATGGATAGCAACTTCAGAACTACAAAATAAATCAGGTATAGATGTAATAACAGTAAATTATAAGTAATTTTTAAATAACAGTAAATAAAATGGATATTGACGTGATTTTCTCTAGCTTTTTTCAGCTCAAGCCAATTTAGTGAGAGCATGGCACTGCATCTGATCTGGAATGAAATTGTTTTCTTCCCCCTTAAAATTTGCAAGAATTTTGTGCAGGTCGGGTCAAGCTGCATTACTTTGAGGGAAAAAACAGGCAAGGGAAATTTATCAACGTGTAATTTATGTATGGACCCAAAATAATTATCTAAAATATGAAATGGGGCAATTTGAGCAAAAAATTACGTAGAAGCTAAATCAACTGGCATTTTTTTATATTTTCAAAATTGCCCCTTTTTCCAAAGATGCCATCTTCGAACCACATTTAATTATTTTTTTTAGCTTTTTCATTAGTAGGGATTAGTAGGGTAATGCCGAAAGCTTTTGGGGCAATGCGCCAAGCTTTAGGGTAGTTCCCAGCCAATCCGAGGGTAGAATCACTAGACCGGTCTGCGAGTCAATTAAACCTCTCGTGGCCTTTTTCTAGTAGGGTAGAACCAAAAGGTTTAGGGGCAATTTCCCAAGCATTAGGAGAAGTTCCTAGCCGGTCCGAGGGTAGAATCACTGGACTGGCCTCAGGGGTCATTTAAACCTCTCATGGGTTTTCTCTAGTATTTGATCTTCCTCTCTCTGTCAACATTCTTTCTCTATCTAGATTGTCAACTGGCCATGAATCCAGGGGTGGATTTTCGCCCTCAAAAGTGAGATTCTAGCTACGTACTTGGGGAGTTCCTTTTTTCTAATTTTTTTTTATTATTTGTAGAATTTGGAAAGCATGGATGCTAAGTTTTAAGTTAGGTTTTTTAAAAGCGGTGTGTGCTGCACCCCTTAGGGTGCATGGGCATGTGCACACATGGGTGACCCTGGTGCTTGCTAGGATAAGGGTGGGCATTGTGGTGGAGCAGTTTGAACCAACAAAAAAAATGAGCGAGGTAAGGCTTACCTCGCCAAGATGGAGTCAGATGCACCCAGGCGGGTTTCCCTATTAGATTAAGATGCCTTGAAGTGCATGCGAAAATCCCCCAAGCCTTTGGTCGGCATGGTTTGGAATAGACATCTTCACAATCCTTAGGTTGGTGCTCCCTTGGAAGCTACGACCCTTGGGCTTTGTCTCTTGGCTTGGAAAAGTTGTGCTTGGATGAGACTAGGTGGCCATAATAGGTGGATTCTTAGACTAGACTAAGGTTGGTTAAGTTCGGCTAGTTAGGACAAGGTTGGAGCATGCTAGACTAGACTAGGGTTGGGGCATGCTAGGCTAGGCTAGGTTGGGTGAGCCAGACTAAGTTGAGTAGGCTGGGTAGGTTGGGTAGGCTAGGCTAAACTACCCTAAGGTGTTAAAGGACACTCAATAATCCACTGGACATCTGGGGTCACCACTCGTAGGAGGCAATATCGATACCACGAGAAAGGTAATAGGCATGAGCAGTGTTTCGAAAAGCGCTAGGTGGCATCTAGGCGGTCGAGGGGGTCTAGGCCGCCCAGTGCCTAGGCGGCGCTCAGAACCCCGGCAGCCTAGTAAATGTTTTTTTTTTTTGGGTTTTCCCTCTCTAAAATAGCCTCTAATGGGTTTTAGATTTCAAATGAACTTAAAACCCACATTTTTCTTATTTAGTATTAAAAAAATGACCCAAAAATACCTTAAGAAGCGGCATTTCTGCCCCTAGGAGGGGTGCAGGCCTTAGACGGGTGCCTAGGCGGGTTCAAGTGGGCGCCTAGGTTGGTTCTCGGGAGCCTAGGCGGGGGCCCTGGGATATCCGTCTAGTTTAGGTGCCTAGGCCTGGGCGATGCACCCAGGCCTTCTAGACTGTATAGGTGTTGGGCGGCCTGCGTTTTAAAACTATGTGCATGGAGCCTACATAATCCCAGAGACTTGTCAAGGGTGCGTGTCACAGCCCCACCCCTACCCCCTGCCACACACGCTGGAGGGCGATAGGGTGCAGGACTGTGATCACATGTGAAGAATGCCACTCAGGTGGTAGTGTGCTCAACGCTTTGAAAAGATGGAAATCAAAGCCAATCACGAAATAAAAACCAAATTAATAAGCACACAACACACAAAATACTAGACAATCCCAGTCTCAAAATTTCATAAGATAGATCCAAAATATTAGAAAAGAGTCCAAGGCACCAAAGGCCCAACAACAATACATAGTTCCAATACTAGCAGACTATATGGCCAATATGCGATCCATCACATACAATTGCAAAGTGACTTCCACAAGAATTACGGGACTCCAACCCCAAGCCGTGATCACCAAACCGCAAGTCCACAACCCGCGGCTATCACTCTACAAAGATGAAAGTTAAAGGGATGAGCTGTAAAGCCCAGTAAGTAGATCATGGTGCCATGCTTCCTTCTTATGAATATCATCTCACAACAATGTTCATGGTGCTATGCCATTCTTATAAAACATGAGTCGTGTGTCATAATCATATCTATCAGTGTGCCGTGCATGGTTCATTGTGAAGCAATAACAAATCAGATCAATCATATATGATAAGAAGCATAGGTCAATCAAATCATTCAACCATACAAATCTTAGCAAATCATTATATTAAGGTAAGCATCCACAATTACCAAGTATCTCATTCCTTAATTCGCCTACTCTCGAAGTAGAAGCTCTATCCATCAGGCCAAGCCAATCCTATTACTTAGGACTTCTATCATCACTCAGAAGGGAAAACAATGACAAATGGGGGAATCCATTTCGTAATGTTTTCACACACACACAGTCCCCAACGCACTTTGGGGCTTTTGATAGGCAATGACCTTGTAAGACACTACCCTTTACGCCACCTTGGCTAGGACTAATACACCTTTTGCGTGCCAATCACTATTAATGGGGGAGCGATCACTCAAACATCATCTACCCTAACCCTCGTCCTTTCATTGGATGAGCCGAAGAGGTCATTAGTCGGGGTCTGATTTTCTCTGGTTCCCTCCCTAAAGCACGGATAGGCTACAAACAAAGAGAGAGATTTTACGCCGGGGTAGGGTTGATTCACTTACCTCGTCATTGTAGGTTCGTGGGACACATCTAGGCAGCTTGCCCTCTTAGATCAGTTATGAAAGCCCTCCGGCTGTTCACCAGCGCGGTTTAGTTAGGGACTCTCTTCAAACGCTACGACCCTCTTCTCTCCTCTCGAGTCTCAGTTCAGATGGATGTCTCGATTCTTCGTGCTAGGGTTGACTTCTATTTTTGTTGATCGAACAAAAGAGTGGGGAGTTTTATCATTCCCATCGCGGTGTCCAAACAAGGAAGGGGGATTAGACATGGACGCGCGTCGGTTTGGACCTCTTCTGGCTTGCTCGGACCTGCATAGTCTCGGATGTGTGGGAGATTATGCGGGTGGGAGAAGAAGAGAGAAAGCTTCGGAAGCTATAAACGTTTTCAGGAAGATAAAAGTGTGTGTGCACATGGTCGGGGGTATTTTCCTCTCTTGCAAGAGTTTTCTCTCTCCTCTCCTTGGGACGTTAGGGCTAAGAGAAAAGATAAGAAGAATCAAGCGTAATGCCTCTTCTTTATTGAATTGTCCTCCCTTTTACAATTGACTGAAGCCTATTTATATAGAGTTTTCTACAAACAAGGGTGGATACTAAAAAACAAAGCCTAAATACAATTAAAAGTTATTAAAATAATGTCTTGAAATTGGGTACAATAACCAAAATGCCCTTAAGCTCTTTTACAGATATGACAAACTCGTCCTTCTTTGAGGAACCCACCGCCATTGTCAAAACCTTGAGAGCACTTATCGGGAATTTGTAGCATCAGTTTGGTTGATCTTTTGTTGTATTCTTGTCGTTTGTTTCCTTGTGATCGTTTTGATGTCTTTTGATCGTGTTGCGGCAATCCTTTTTGTACGAAAAGGAGCCTGGTCAGTTTTGTGGGATCTTTTGACGACTTCTTTCTTCTTGATTCGCAGCATCTCAGCGATTCTGGGAAAGGTTTTCTTCAAGTGGTCTTCTTTGCAAAAGATTTTTAATCTGTTTTTTGTTTTTCTTGGACTTTTGGTGGATCGTCGAAAAAGGGATTTTTGACGATGGGGATTTCCTTGCTTTTATTGTCATGACCTTGGGTTTCCTTGCTTCTTTTTTTTTTTGCTTTGAATGGTGCTCGTTCTGTCTTGGCTTGAGTTTTTCTTTCTGGAAGTGTTTCTTCTTTAGTTTTTATTAGCCGAATTCTCTTTTGTGAGGGTAAAGATATCCTTCTGAAGGTTCTGGAGTTCATGGATTCAGGCCGTTTTTTCCTTCTTTTTCGTTGAGGAGACTTGTCTTCTTCATGTTGTTCGTCTAGATAGGGAAATGTCGTTGAAGCTCCATGGGCATCTGGGGCCTTGGCTTCGTTTCTACTGCAGGGAAGGAGTTGCAAGCTCGTCGAGGAGCGGCCAGAGATGGCCAAGACTGTCAACTATTTCAGTGAGGTCATACGACGGAAGGCGTACCTCTGCCCTACTTTGCGATGGTTCTGGTGTAGGGCCACTGGGTCGATCTGTTTGAGCCTGGGCCCACTTCCTTTTTTCTTAGAAGATGACCATGGTTGCTCGGCGTGCCTATTCGGCTCCTGTACACGTGGTAGCGGGGATAAGGCTTCTACTCTTTTCGTGTAGGCATCTTTTTCTTTGGTCATCCTTATTCGAGGTTTATTTCTTCCACAGCTACTGTGTTCTGCACGGCTATGTCTTGTATGCTACAGTGACCGG